AACGACTATAAGTATTACGAATAATGACTGAAGGGACAAAATCGAAACCCATTGATGCAATTCTTCTGGTTAAAGGGAACGCCACAATATGTTCTCTTATGAAAGAGAAGGCCTTGATCCTGTATGAGAAGCTACTTCGCATTTCCATGGATAAATTCGTCAGCACCTATGCGAATAGACCAAGACATCTGAAAACGCAATCTGGTCTAATGCAGAAATCCATAGAACTGAAGAAAGAATTACGAATCGATGACAAACCAAAACGTCTCCCTCTTCCCATGAACCCATTAGCAGACACTGATGTAGTGCGTTGCACCCAACTGGTTGACTACTTCGGGAATTCAAACACCACTCCAGAACAAATGCGCCCACTGGCCTTTGAGACAATCAATGCCAACTATTCTGCAGATCAATGACTTCAATGACTTCTACTGATGGATCTGCAGATCAATGGCTCCAAGTCTTCACTGATCGGTCTTACATAGAAAACCAAGCGAACGTTGGTGCAGGTGTCTATTCTGACCTCGTCTCTTTCTATGCAGCAGCGGGACACCACAGATTCGTTTTTGATGGAGAAAAAGGGGCCTCAAGATGCAACGAACTTAAAGCTCGAACAAAGGAGAAACAGTGGTCAGTGGAACTCTCCGACATAGCCGACTGGCCAAGAATCGAGGTCGTTGCTTCGTTTGGACTACGTACCGGACACGATTGCCTGACAAAACACCTTCACAAATTGGGAGTATACACTCAACCCACATGCCCTCTATGTAACCTACAGGAGGAAGTGAGGAAGACCCACCTGATTCGATGTCCTGCTCTAAAGACAACGGAAGACCCACCTGATTCGGTGTCCAGCTCTAAAGACAAGCAAGAAAGCCAGAGATACTGGGAAGCAAGAAGACAGCTAATGAGCTGAAAGCAGAGTACGGGGAAGCAAGAAGACTGCTAATGAACTGCTATTAATTAACCGCTATAAATGTAAGAAGCAAGAAGACAGCTAATGAATTGCTATTAATGAACTGCTATAAATGTAATTAAGCCAGAGATACTGGAAAGCAAGAAGACAGCTAATGAACTGCTATTAAGTAACTGCTATAAATGTACACCCCCCCCCCACAGACTTGGAGGAAGCTGAAGTCAACGTTTAAGAGCTAATGATAAATATCATAAAGCCTGCCATTTGCAAACAAACCTCGAGAAGTGTAAATTTGGTCGGACTGAACACAATGCCTAAGGTCATTTTGTTAGTACTATCATAAATGACATTCAGCACAGCAAAACCCTATCTATTATTCACTTTCGTATTTCTCACTAAATCTAAGTCCTTTACCATCGTATTCTTAAATCTGTAGGTTAATAATGTCATCAATGATATTTGTTAATTTGGACATCTCTTTTGACGAAATATGTCAGAGCAGACCATAATCAAATTCAACTTCAGGAAACGTCTGAAAAAAGCAATTAAGGTCCAGCTACCAAATTTGTCATTTTTAAGCCCTTTAACTAACCAAATGTTCCTTTTGCATTACACCACATTTATGGAAGATCAATAGTTGTTGAAATAAAATGATTGGTAGACTTCTGTACTGACAAGATAAATTGAATATGCTTAGTTTTAGAGCGAAGTTTGGAGAATGCGATCCTGAACCTTCAGGAGGGAGGCGTCGAGCGTGGAAGGGAAGTAGGAACTTGTGATCTGTTAAGGTTTTGTCAAGATATGTTGTAAGTATTCCAATAAGAGACTCCTTCCATGTCTACTTCTTCTTCTTATTCAACATAATTCAGTTGGTCAACACTTTCGGAGCCAAACTATGCCATCAAGATTACTGCGGATTAGACAAGTCTTATTTGTGTAGTAATTTGCCTCAAATCCTTCCATCCACATAGATAGATTCTAAGTCATCGGCATATATGATGAATGAAAACTAGCAAGTGAACCGAACAGAAATCTTTCTTTGGATAATCCATCTATTAATTATCAATGTTCATTGGTCTTGATAAACAAGGAAGTCTTTCCGGTGTTAAACCAAGGCGTGCCACGAACCAGGTCCTAAATTGCTAGGATCACCTCATTCTGCCTACTCGTCTACAGGTATGCAATTGCTTCTCTGAATTGTATAATTGCTACTGAATATACAAACAAACAGACCAACTTTGTATCCCCTAAAAGAGACGGAAAATTAAAATTTATCAAGCATACATTTCAAGTCAAGGTTAGGTCCCGCCACATTGGCACGTTTACAGTGAGTTATGTAAAAGTCAAAATTTGTGAAGTTTGAAAATGAGTTGACCGCAATCATTAAAATATTAAGGCACTATTACCACATCAGATCTATTACATGAAATAAGATTATCCGTTTATTCACCTCAAAGGAAGGAGACTTTAAAGCATGAGCAAATCCTATTATAAGGTTTATAATCGTCCTTTTCAGTGTTAGAGCAGTAAAGCCATACGTCCATTATTAAAAGTAGCGCAAAAACGAAATGGAAATGAATTCTATAGTCACTGAAGCATCGGCATGTCACTGCATGTCAATGTAATAGCAGAGAAGCAGCTCCTCACGTAGAGCGGATTTAGTGGAAAGAGGGCAAGAGACTGTGCTGGACGGCTGGTTTCCCTGTATTTGGGCTTACCACCCATTTATACTCTGGGATACTCATAACCAGAGTTCGAATGGTGAATTTTATCAATCTCACTCATATAAACCCGAAAATACTTGTCAGCTTCTAGACAATTTTATTAATAGCCAATGACATTGTCCTATTAATTGTATGCAAATATGATTAAGTTCGAATGTATTTTCGTTGCAATTTGTCCAGTTATAACCACTAAAGGCGATGTGGACTGATGAAATATTTGTAAAGGCTTTCATTCCCCGAAGTTTTCATTTTGCAATTCCTCTTCGAGGTACAAGAGACAAGCA